TATCAGTATTATTTGGATGTTGAAGAAAAATATTAGTATTCTTTGATGTTCTGATTTCAAGAGATGATATATTTTTTAATAAGAGAAAATATCTGAAACATGCATATTACTAGGATTAAAAGAATACACCATGGCGGGTCTCCGAGAAAGAGGAGAGGACATCTTAATTTTTTTAATTTTTTAGGTTTTTTTTATAGATTAAATTCACCGGATTAAGCTGAAGTAAGAAATGTCAAATATGATCCCTCGTGGGCGTGGTTTGGGCGGTACACAATCTTGTGACGTCATTTTTTGAATTAAGAAACAAGATATTTGTTTATTTTCTAATGAGAATATTTTTGAAAAGTATAAAAATGTGAAAAAAGTGAATTACAAATATGATACCCCTGTATTCATGTAAGTATGACAAACTGAGATTAAGATGGGTAAGTAATTGGATACGGGTGGTGCATGGTGCCACCCATCAAGGGATATCATATATATCAGACATAGAGATGGGCAACGTTCCGTTAATGAACGGAAAGTGTTTGAGAATCAACGGAAGATTCCGTGACCTTTTCCGTACCGGAAATTGTTTTAAGCTTTAACGATTGGAAACAACCGTTCATGAAGAAAAAGAGCGGAATATATAAAGAAAAAAGGATGTGTTTTGATTTTTCTGCGAAAAGTTGAATGAAAATTACAAAAAATGGATGACATTTTCATTTTCAGAAATCGTAAATCGTTCTGAAATATCTTTAATGAACAAAATCTTAAAAACAAGAACGAAACTTTCAATTCCTGGCTGAGTGCAAAGAGATATCTGAAAAAGTACCATTTAAGATCGGTTAGAAAAAAGTCTGAACGTGCCCAGTCCTACTCACACATTTTCAGAGTTCACAACATATTTCATGTCGAAAAATTGTTCTGCAGAGTTTTGAAGGTTTCTTCATGGACGAATATTTGATAGCTTTTTGCATTTTCAGTCTCATCGAATTTTTTTCCATTTTGTTTAGAAAATTAAAGTATGGTTGAATGTGCACGAATATTTAATCATGGAAATTAATTGCATCGCACTTCTTACAAAGTCTTCATTCAACGTTGAAAATATTACGGAGAAATTTTTTTTCTTTTAAACTTTTTATTTACATTAAATTTTCTTAATTTTACATTTACACCACGAAGACCTGAATTCAAAAATAGGTAAAATACACATGTCTGAATGACGCAAATATTTTAGTAAAGCTGGTAAAAGAGAAAATACAATTTAAAAAAAGAAAAACAAATTTTAACTTATGTTTATAAACTTGTTCTGGGTATTATATAGTTAATACGTAGTTTAGCTTTTTTAACTCCAAAAACCTTGTTTTATGTTTAGCTTAACTATGCAGATTATTCGTTTGCGAAAGCCATAAGGTGGTAAGTTTAAAGGGAGTGATTGCAATGAATGGTAGAAGAACTGAGAAAATTTGGGTTGGATTCATTTGAGACTTAAAAAACGTTTTAATGATGTAAAATTATTGAGTTTGCGCAAGTCGACGTTTAAAATCATCTGTTTGGGGTATTACGTTTTGAAAATTGATTTTTTTAATCATTCAATGACGACCCCGAAAACAATATTTCTACAGTAAACTATAATGTTTGGGAACATATTTCTCATTAGAATATGTCAATAAATGAATGTTATAAGTAATTGTTTCTTTTTTATCATTATTTTCTTATTCTTTATGAGTTTGTTCGCAGATTTCTTCAAATTCTTCAAATGTCGTCTTTTCAATAAAACTTCCATGATAAGAGTTAACTTTTATTTTCTCAACTTGTTCCGTTTACTGTAGAATTTTTGTTACATTTTTCGTTAAAAATGCCGTAAATTATGTCAAAGATAAAAGTCGACTTTTAAGTAGGTTCGATACTGTCATGTTTCTTGGGACACCCTGTAGCTAAAGTGTCTGACGTTGCCCGTGATATGTAAAAAATCGCCCAATAATCGACTTAAAAAGAACGCTTGTGTCGGAACGATTATTACGGGGGATAAGCCAGGGAGCCAAAGTTACACAGAGGAAGGGGGGGGGGGGGATGCTGTGTTAGTAACATACATTCCACCCGTTTCTCTTTAAATAAATACATCGAGATATTTAAATTTAATAATAATTGCCTTTGCCACTAAACAAAGCAAAACATTTATTTTTTGGGGGTAATGTCTAGAGATTACAGCGAAAAGAGGAAATCGTTTAATCGAAAATTTTGAATTTTTTTTGCATTTCGTTCGCTCCGAAAAAGCGAAAAAAAATGTTCACGAAATTTCGCTTTAACCTATTAAAAACTTTCGCAAAATAAGAAACGTACAAATTTAGCAAAAAATATGATAAAATAAAATTTCTAATGCTGAGCTCTTAAAGCTGTTTTCGCGAAATTTCGCAACGTTTTTTCAATTTTTCAAGAAAAAATGCGAAATTTCGCAAATATGTTTGCAAAATAGGTACGAAAATTTTCGCAATTTTTCGCGAAAGTTTTGTTCGATGGAAACCCTACATAAAATCGGACACTGTACCACAAACTAATTTTGATCCAGTTTTTATTCTCATTTTAATATTTAAGACACACACATATATATAGAGAAGCAATCTATATTTTTCCGATCATAACTCATGAAACTCTGGACCGATTTGCCTCAAATATTTATTAGGGAACTTGGGAGAACCACGGGAATGTTCTTAGCTTGGTTTTGAGATTCTAAGTTGAGTGGGTCGACTTGTATAGGGAAAACGCAACGCCATGGGTTCTCAAGCTAGTACAGTAATAAGATGAAACTACATTTGATGCAAAGATCTTCCATCAAAGATATATGAGTTTTAATATTTGCACGGTGCAGAACATCCTTGAAAAATAAAAACTAGCAAAGCATCAATTAATCTTTGATATCTGTTTGATCAGTTTTCATGTTGGGGAATTAAACTTTTTGCTGCAGAATTTAAGATATGTCAATGATGATGCGCGTGTGAACGGGCAAAGAGCTGGGGAGTAAAATAAGTTGTGAGAGAGTAAACTAAACTGAGGAGGGATTACAGTTAGTTAGGAGGGAGTAAAGTATGACAGGAGGGAGTAATCAAAGTCAGGCGGGAGTAATGTCAAGTCAGGAGGGAGTAAACTAAGTCCGAAGGAAGTAAACTAAGTCAGGAGGGAGTAAAATATGTCAGGAGGGAGTAAACTAAGTCAGGAGGGAGTAAAGTGAGGCAGGAGGGCGTAAACTAAGTCAGGAAAGAGTAAAATAAGTCAGGAGGGAGTAAACTAAGTCAAGAAGGAGTAAACTAAGATAGGAGGAAGTAAAGCAAATCAAGATAGAGTAATTTAAGTCAAGAGGGAGCAAACTTAGTCAGGAGGGAGTAAAGTAATTCAAGAGGGAGTAAATTAAGTCAGGAGGCAGTAAACTAAGTCAAGGGGGAGTAAATTAAGTCAGGAGGAAGTAAACTAAGTCAAGGGGGAGTAAATTAAGTCAGGAGGAAGTAAACTAAGTCAAGGGGGAATAAATTAAGTAAGAAGGGAGTAAACTAAGTCAAGGGGGACAAAATTAAGTCAAAAGGGAGTAAACTAAGTCGGGATGGGAGTAAAGTAAGTCAGGACGGAGGAAAGTAAGTCTAGAGTGATCAAAATAAGTCAGGAATGAGTAAACTAAAATCAGGAGGTTGAGTATATTTAAAATGGAAGTGCACTACTCGCACTACACGACTAATTAAACTTGTTTTTTAGAAAGAAATAACATGAATAATGCAAGGAAACAGTTGTACCACGAATAAGGTTTCGTTGTAAGTGTACATTATCGTGCTTTGATTTTGCTGCGATAAACGTGTGGTAAAACGGAAGTTACACTGATGCGCATATTACGTTTTTTTGAAGTGCAAATAAAAGGGAAACAGGGCAGGGTACCAAGGAAGGGGGAATAGAGTAGTGAGGGGGTTATAAGGGATGGAAGAAAAATGAATAAATATAATA